CTGACCGACAACGTGAACACCATGGCCCAGAATCTCACCTCGCAGGTGCGGTCCATCTCGGACGTGACGCAGGCCATCGCCAAGGGTGATCTCAGCAAGAAGATCGAGGTGCACGCGCAAGGTGAAATCCTGACCCTGAAGATCACCATCAATAACATGGTCGACCGTCTGGCCAAGTTCGCGACCGAGCTCAAGAGGGTGGCTCGCGATGTCGGTGTGGACGGCAAGATGGGCGGTCAGGCCAACGTGGAAGGCATTGCTGGTCGCTGGAAGGAAATCACGGAGGATGTTAACACCATGGCGGAGAACTTGACGTCCCAAGTGCGGGCCTTTGGGGAAATCACCGATGCCGCCACGGACGGCGACTTCACCAAGCTGATAACCGTCAATGCTTCGGGTGAGATGGACGAATTGAAACGCAAGATCAATAAGATGGTTTCCAATCTGCGTGACAGTATTCAGCGAAACACCGCCGCTAGGGAGGCGGCCGAACTGGCAAACCGGACGAAATCCGAGTTCCTGGCGAACATGAGTCACGAAATCCGAACCCCCATGAACGGTATTATCGGCATGACCCAGCTGACCCTCGACACCGACGACCTCAAACCGTATCCCCGTGAGATGCTGAATGTCGTGCACAATCTGGCCAACAGTCTCTTGACGATTATCGACGACATCCTGGATATCTCGAAGATCGAAGCCAACCGGATGGTCATCGAGAGTATCCCCTTCTCCGTCAGAGGCACCGTGTTCAACGCGTTGAAGACGCTGGCGGTCAAGGCCAACGAGAAGTTCTTGAACCTGGCATACCAGGTCGACAGCTCGGTGCCCGATTATGTCATTGGCGATCCGTTCCGTCTGCGCCAGATCATTCTGAATCTGGTTGGCAATGCCATCAAGTTCACGGAGCAAGGTGAGGTGAAGCTCACGATCAGCAAGTCCGAACGGGAACAGTGTGCTCCGGATGAGTACGCGTTCGAATTCTGTGTGTCGGACACCGGTATCGGTATCGAGGAGGATAAGCTCGATCTCATCTTCGATACCTTCCAGCAAGCGGATGGCTCGACGACTCGCCGGTTCGGCGGTACCGGTTTGGGGCTGTCCATCTCGAAGCGTCTTGTCAATTTGATGGGTGGTGATGTGTGGGTCACGTCGGAATACGGCCATGGCAGCACGTTCCATTTCACCTGTGTCGTGAAGCTGGCCGACCAGTCGCTTGACGCCATCAGTTCCCAAATGATTCCGTACAAGAACCACCGGGTCCTCTTTATCGACAAGGGCCAGACCGGTGGGCATGCGGAAGAAATCACCAAGATGCTCAAACAGCTGGAGCTGGAGCCGTTGGTTGTCAAGGATGAAGACGAAGTGCCTCCGCCGGAGATCCAAGACCCGTCTGGCAAAGAGTCGGGCCACGCGTACGATGTCATCATCGTCGACACGGTTGATACGGCCCAAAATCTGCGGACGTTTGACGAGTTCAAATATATCCCCATTGTTCTGCTCTGCCCGGTCGTTTCGGTCAGCTTGAAGTCGGCGCTCGACCTGGGCATCACATCGTACATGACGACCCCATGTCAACCCATCGACCTGGGCAATGGCATGCTCCCGGCTTTGGAAGGCCGTTCGACCCCCATCACCACCGACAATTCCCGGTCGTTCGACATTCTCCTTGCCGAGGACAATGAAGTCAACCAGAAGCTGGCCGTGAAGATCCTGGAGAAGTGCAACCACGGTGTCACGGTCGTCAGCAATGGTCTGGAGGCCCTGGAGGCTGTGAAGAAGCGACGGTACGACGTCATCCTGATGGACGTTCAGATGCCGGTCATGGGAGGCTTCGAGGCGACGGCTAAGATTCGTGAGTATGAACGGGAGAATTCGCTGTCCCGCACGCCGATTATTGCCCTCACTGCTCACGCCATGTTGGGCGATCGGGAGAAGTGTATCCAAGCGCAGATGGACGAGTATCTGTCGAAACCTCTCAAGCAGAACCAGATGATACAGACCATTCTGAAGTGCGCGACGCTTGGTGGAAATTTCCTGGAAAAGAACAAGGAATCCCGCCTCTCCGGTAGCGGCGAAGGGCATTCTGGAGGCTCTCATCCGGACGGCAGGCCCCAGCAGCAGCAGCAACAGCAGCGACCCGGTCTCGAGAGCAGAGCTCTTACCGCGCCGGGTTCGACTACCAAGGGCAGTTCGGATAGGCCGTCTAATGCGAAGTCGAGTGCGAGATCGAGTGCGAAGTCGACTGAGAAGGCTTCTGAGAAGCCAGCTGTGAAGTCTACTGAGAAGCCAGCTGGG